AATTCACATACCACACAGTTTTCTCATTTAAAGTATACAATAGTTTTTGGTATATTACATTATTGATTTTTAAAAATTGTGGTAAAATATATAACACGAAATTTGCTATTTTAACCATTTTAAATGTACAATTCAATGGCATTAATTATATTCCTATTGTAATTCCCAAACTTTTTCATTATCCCAGACAGAAACATTTCTTTTTTCTTATCTTATTGCCTTGGCTAGGATCTTTATGTGATATAATTGGTTTGTGTGAATTTAAAGAGAAATGCTGTAAATCAGGGGTCCCCAACCTGTGATGAGTTGCATAATTATTTCATTATGTATTACAATGTAATAATAATGGAAATAAAGTACACAATAAATGTCGTGTGCTTGAATCATCCTGAAACCATCCCCCCTTACACACCCTGTCCATGGAAAAATTATCTTCCATGAAAACGGTCCCTGGTGTCAAAAAGGTTGAAGACCGCTGCTCTAAATGGTTTTTATTAAATATCATTTGTCAGTTTAAGGAACTTTCCTATTTCTTTTGATCTTGAGTGACATTGAAATTTTATCAAATATTTTTTCTGCATTTTTTGACTATATAGTTTCTATTTTAATGTGGTAGATTACATTAATAGTTATAATGAACTATTCTTATATTCCGGTGACAACCCAACTGGCGATAATAACATTCTTAAAATATGTACCTTTGAATTTGATTTACCCTAACATCTTATTTAAGATTTGTGTTCATAACTGAGATGTGTATAGTATTTTCTTTTCTTTTTCTAGTTTTGATATTAAGATTATACTAGCATCATAAAATGAGTTGGGGAGCATTATTTTGTAATTTCCTGAAATAGTTTATATAACCTAGGACCTAGGGATCATGTGTTCTTTGAATGTTTTTAGAACTCACTTATAAAGTTGTCTAGGTCTGATCTTTTGGCAGGGGAAACCTGAGTCCAGTTTTACTGATTTTAGTGGTTTTGATAGGCAAAATTCTAAGGTGGCCTCCAAGATTCCCATCCCCTTTCTGTGCACCCTGATAGTCATCTCCCTTTGAGTGTGGAAAGAATTTGTGGATAAGACGGGCTATCACTGCAATGATTAGTTTACTACTCAGTCGACTTTGAGTTATACAAAAGGGAGATTATTTGTATGGCGCCGACCTAATAAGGTGAACCCTTTCAAGGGACTAGGCCCTTCTAGAAGTCAGAGAGCTTAGAAGGATGAGAGGGACTGTTGAGATGGCCAGGTGGCAAGGACCTAAGAGTGGCCTCTAGGAGCTGAGTTCTTTAGTTTGATATATTTTTTTTTTGATATCCAAATGGAAATGTTTAAAAAGCAGTTGGATATATGAGCCTGGAGCTCCAGGTCTGGGTTAAAGATGTAAATTTGGGAGTAATAGGCATACAGTGGTGTATGCCTATCGGGTAGATCCTATATCGGATGAGTCCTGGGACGTCCACATTTTGAGTTTGGTGGAGAAGGCAGAGCTGGTGAAAGAGACTGAGAAGGTCGCCGGGGAGCTGGAGGAAAACAGGAGAGGTTGACCCGAGGCAGGAGACGATACCCTTTCAAGGAGGAGACTTGACCATTAGAATTGGCAAGAGGAAGGCTTGACAGCATTTTGGTGGAGACGTGAGGATGAGAACTTGGTTGGGGAAAGCCAGAGAGAGACCAAGAGGTAAAGAAGTGGAGAGAGACACTTTCAGTGAGTTTGGATGTGAAGGGAGCAGAGAAATGCTCTATGGTAGGAGGCAGATATGGAATCTCTTGTTTTGTTTTTAAGATGGAGACATCGGGGTGTGTTTTGTACTGACGGGACTGGTCCTGGCGGCTGTTCTGAGTCCTCTGAACCCTCGATCTCACCTTTCCAGCGCTCTCTTCCTGCCCTCCTGAGATAAAGTGTGATGGGTGGGTGTGGGGCTGGTTCAGGAGTCCCTCGGCTCCATCTCACTCCCACCCACTCACCACCGCCTCTCTGGAGGCACCTTGGAGTGCAGTTGGGGTTGGCACAGGGACGCGGCTCAGGCTTGGACTGGGTTGGAGGACTCAGTTGGAGGACAGATTCATTGCTAGGCCTGGGGCCAAAGGTCCACTCAGAGATGGTGCCTTTGAACCGGAGGCGTAGTTGTGTGGGTAAGTCATTGCCAACATCCCTGCAAGGGCTTCTGGACTCAGTTCTTACCTCCTTTTACCTGGCAAGCTCCGCCCCCTGGGCTAGCCCTTGGCTGGACAGTGGGGGACACAAGAACGAAGGTGTCACTGCTCTTGGGAGAAAGGACGCAAGTGGTGGGAGGAGCGTGTTCTCTTCCAGACTCGGCATGGAAACCTTTACCTCCCTTCTCCTTGTTCCTGCCAGGATCCTGGCCACGGCTGGCACCGATTTCGACCTGCGGACTCTGCGGGCTGTGCGGGTGCTAAGGCCCCTGAAGCTGGTGTCTGGGATTCCAAGTGAGTCCAGCTAAGACAGGCCCACGCCTACTGGAACACCAGTCTCCTCCCCTGCCCTCACCATGGCCACAACCACAGTTCAGCCCCTCACTAGTCCCCTTTGGCTTTGGTGACCATGAGCTTGCCACTTTTGACCCCAGGGAACCAGGCGAGAACAAGGGAGGGACAGGCCTTTTCTAGTCTGTCCCACTCCAGAAAAGCCCAGGGGGTGACTCTGTTATTTTGCCCTGACTTGGCTTCCCTAGGTGGAACCTTTGTTCCTCCTCAAATACTCTGTTGTATTTTTATCTCTTTGCTTTTTTTTCTGGAGTTAAAGAACGCATGAGAGATTGACCAAGGTGCTGAGGTGGGATGATGGAGGAAGTACTCAAAGGCTACAGAGGGCCACCTGTCTCTGGGCTCAGGCTTGGCAAGGCTGTTGAGGACTGAGACCAGCCCTACGATGTGCTCCTGGATTGGGCTGTTCAAGGAGCCAAGCGTGGGCAGGAGGATGGCCAGGGTGACCTTGTGAGCCAGTGACCACCTTGGGTCATTTCCTGTTCCTTCAGTCCAGTGGAAGTTTGGTTTTAGGTCCTGTGGAGACCACTATGGGAAGACCATTGATTGGCTTCTGTTCTGCCCTGAGACCCTCCAGGCAAGGGCCTTGGCCTGGATCCAAGAGCTGGGGTTAGCCTGGAGCGGGGAAAGGTCAGGGGTTACAGCCTCAGCCCAGTTCCTCCGGCCTGGACCCACTCATGCCCTGTGCCCAGTCACAAAACACTTCCTGGGGGCAAGTCCTCCTGCCTCACTTTCCCCAAGTTGTGTCTCTTAGGAGCTCTATACTTCTTACCCAGGATCCCTTGCTCTTGGCTCCCAGCATTCTCTGTTCTTCCCTCCCAGGATTCCCTCATTTTCCCACCCAGAATCCCCTGCTCTTGGCTCCCAGAATTCTCTGCCCTTCCTTCCCAGGATTCCCTGTTCTTTCCTCTCAGGACTCTCTGTTCTCGTCCCATCCTGAGCCCTCCATAGACCCATAGATCTCACCAGCCCACACGCCCCCACTCCCCATCCCAGACTTCACACCCCCACGTCCTCCTCCCCCACTTTGCTCCACTGCTCAGCCCACCTGTCCCTCGGCTCTGCCCCACGTGAGTGCTCCCTCGCTGTCCTCCTTCCCCCAGCACTGCCTGCTCTGTCCCTGCTGGAAGGCCGCCAGCTCTGTCGTTGGCCTCATCAGCACTTGCTGCTCAGCACCTGGCCCAGGACTGTCGGCTCTGCCCTGCCTCGGGCTCTTGCTGTTCCGTGCATGCCCCACCCCGCTCCCTGCTCTGCCCGCTTTGCTCTCTGACCTGCCCCGCTCTGCCTGTTCTGGCCCCAGGTTTGCAGGTGGTGCTCAAGTCCATCATGAAGGCCATGGTTCCGCTGCTGCAGATCGGGCTGCTCCTCTTCTTCGCCATCCTCATGTTCGCCATCATTGGCCTCGAGTTCTACATGGGCAAATTCCACAAGGCCTGTTTCCCCAATAGCTCAGGTGAGCCTAGCAACACTGCCTGGGTTCAGAGGAGGACCTCAGGAGATGGACGCTGTTCTGGGTGCTAGAGGGCCTTCCAGGTGCCAGACCAGTGAGGTGGAGCTTACTTCCTCATGGACAGTAACCTAGTAAGCACAAACACGTAAATA